TTATTTATTGATTTTAATTTTCTCTAACTGCAACTCTAACCTCTGTACTGCTTTAAATACATATATATATTTCTTGACCAGATTCCAAAATGATCCACGGGTTTACAAAGCAGCTTTTTTTTGACTGACAAACATGGAAATTTAAATCAAATAAGAACAAAGAAAAGCAGAAATAATAAAAAGTCAAGGATAAATAACAATTGATAAGGGTAGTTAGGGGAACCCGTACCTCTAATAATGACAGAGCCATCTCTCTGAGATTCACTCAGAGTCCCATTCAGCAACAGCAAGACAACAAACAGCATCACACACACCCTCATTTTAGCTCCATCTGCAGCAGGAAAAAAGCACACATGTACCGTTGTGCTGGGTTTGTCAATTTGTTGCTTATACAAAGAACCGTCACTTGACACAAATGGAAAATATAATTACTGACTGAGCTGCCCTTCTGCATATTATGGAAATTCAATCAAAGTTTCTACAGCCGACTTTAAAGTAAGTTTAATTACTCCATGGCCTCAAAGTGAATGGCATAACTGGTTTTCTACTGTTGTTTGAAAACAGCATGAAGAACGAGTAAACTCTGGATGAAGGAAAGCAAACAATGTAATCAGCAGATTGGATCAGTCAAAAATAACACATCTGATGCTTAAGCAGTCCCCCCCCCCGTTTTTCTCTTACTTAGACTCTCTGGCTCGACTTTGTCTTAATCACATGGTTGCATTACTGCAGAGCCAAACAATCCTCAGTTTGGTTTTGCAACTGAAAGGCATAATAGAGATACCGAACACATGTGAAGACTTACCGTTTCGAAACATATTGACCTGCAGAACCAAACTTCAACGGTTGCTTTGCTACGTCCCAGCTGAGGCAAACAGGTGTAGGACTTTGTCTGGGCAGGAAAGGCAAGAAAAATAAATTTATGACTTGAAGTAAGACTACAAGAGAAAGAGTGTTCAGATTCTTCTCACCTGATCTATAAAGGGGTTGTGCTTCTCAGGTCTGGGTCTCTCCGGGTGCCAGTTTATCATCTGTGTCATCATTTCTTTATATGCAGCAGGAGGGGCAGCGGTATGTTGATATGCTGATGTCACCCACCTTTCAGGAAGAATATGTATGCACGTGCAAGAATGGCAGCACAGCTTTAAGTCAACACAACAATCAGCGTGGAGGTTTTTCTTCTGTTGGACAGTTGATCTTTAAAAAAAATAAATCAATCAAACGCTACATAGACATTTTATTTTATTTCATCTAGAATTTTAATTAAAAGTTATGTTGTCTTTTGTTCTGTTTAGTTGAGCTTTTTTAGGTTGAACCTAATTGAGCTATTTTGTTTTGTCATAATCTATTTTAATGAGCTGCTATAGTCTTACCAAGCTTTTTGTTACTGGTTATTTAGTGCTTTTTATTATTTTAACTTAGATGCCATGAAGTTATTTAAAAATATACAAATATACAAAGTTAATGTTTAAATGTGGGATTATTGTATATTTCTATTTAAATTGTTCTTTCCATAGCGCAGAGATAAAACCTTCCCTGGAGATTCAGTTAACAAAGAGGCACTATGAAAAAGCTGGTGTGACTTGTTAAGGTTTTGATTGGATTATACTGATATGAAAGCTGCTGCTTGATACAATAATCTACGCCAATGGCTAAAAAAGGACAGAAAACAACAGTTTAGCTTGTAAATAATTTAATAAGACCAGTGATGCAAATAATTTCAATTAAAGTGATAATTTAACACAGGCTT